CTGACTACCTTAATACAATGGTACATTTCCAAATATGTAACAGGGTGTTTTTGCAAATGGATGATCATCTTCAGCTCCCAGCTTGGGAGCTGGGAGAATGGTGAGCACTATTTTGCATCCTAAATAAGCATATGAACAGTCAGTTCTCAGCCCCAAGAGTCAACCATTCCTTTGTGGGAGATTATCCAGTTCATCTTTATGTATGAGGTCTTGTTTAAAAAATAACGGCAACAAACACGCTGCTTTCATAGGTTCCTCTTCTGCTTTTCTTTACAGGCTAGGTCAAATAATCCTACTGGGGGAAAGAAAATGGAACAAATGAGCTTTTTAAAAGCCTCCTGTTGAATTTTACTCTTTTAAGTAGTTAGTTGCGTCTCTCCATGTATGTCTATAAAGTTCACAAATCATGGCTGCTTTATCTCAAACTCAATGACAACAAACACACCCAACCCTATTCATTTGATATCAATAACTTCAAGCACAGCTGTTAAACCTTAAAGAGCCAAGATATAAGAGAAGACAGACAGGTATTTTGAAAGGGGTTAGCAGTGCACAAAACAATGGAAAAGATGCCCTGGTTCAGCCATCTTACTGCTTAGAACATCCCTGATACTTTGAACACCTGAAGAATAATAGGTATTGGCTGTGGGAGTGGTGTGGACTCCACTGTTAGTACACTATGCTCTGAAAAGGTCAATTTTAAATGCTTTTAAATGTTAAATAGAGTCAGAAGATTGAATTAGATGGATATTGGTCTGACCCTGGGTGTTCCCTGTAGCCAGTGGTTCCACACAGCTGTAAGCAACCAGTTAGTGAGTCATTTATACATTGTGTATAGGAACCAGGGACATGAGGAAAAAACTGGACTTAACCTTTGAGTCCAATAATGTGCATAGTGGCAAGTCTCTGGAGTCTTTTTATCTGATTTACTCAAACACAAAATCTAGCTTCCAGCAAAATTAAAGTCAACATGTTTCTCTAGAGATTAGGATCAAAGGACCAGAAAAGATTCCATTTCAACAGCAGGATTCACTCCCTTCTTTATCTACTGAGGGCAGAAGATAGCAAGGGCAAGGACACGTGTTAATCTTTTTGATGTGTCTTATTGTCACCCAACACAGCCTTGAACGGAACTGGAATGATTCATTAACTTGTCTTCTGGGCTATTCTAGCCCTGCAAACTAGAAATGGCATTCAGTCCTTCTTTCTTTCCTTCTGCTAAATATAGAGCTAAATTCAGAAGCTGTCAAAGAGACAGACTTTCTATTGGCATGAACAAAGGTGCAGTTGAAGGAATAGGTTAATCGTGAAAGATATATAGACACACAATTAACTTGCATTCACTATCACAAGATGTGTTGGTGACCAACCTGGATGGCTTTAATTTCAACAGTGGGCAATAGGAACCAAAAATGCAGCTGGGGCCATGTGTTACTCATTCCGAAGCTAAGCCATAACCAAACTGTGTTAAGTGATTCCAAGTGCACACACTTCGAAGAACACAAGAAGTGGTCTGCTGAATTTGACTAAGATCTACTTAGTCCCAATGTGTGAAAAAAATCCACTAATCATCATGTCTACTGGAAAACTGGTCAGTGCTCCACAGGCCAACCAAAGTCCACTTCTACCCAATATTCTGAATGCAAAAATATTTACAGAGTTCAAAGCCATTGTTGTCATGTGCCATCAAGTTGTCTGACTTATGGGGACCACATGAATGAAAGCCTTCCAAAATGTCCCATCCATGACAGCCCTGTTCAACCTTTCTAAGTTCAAGGCTGTGTCTTCTTCTGTGCAGTCAACACATCTCATATTTGGTCTTCCTTTTTCTCTTGTGCATTTGACATTTCCAGCATGATTGTCTTGCAAGTCTTTCCTTTTCGTGATGTATTCAGAGTATGACAGCTTCAGCTCTGTCATTTGGCTAAGTCATACCAGGGCTGTAATCTTAGGCCTGCATATTTGGAGAAAAGAATCAGTCAAATTTCCTTTTGAATAAACCTTGTATGAGATTGTAAAGGTGAACCAAGCATGCTATAATGTTTTCTGCAAAGCAGAATAATAGGCAATAAATCCTAACCATTTTTAAGATGAAAGTCAGTGTAGTGGCTAAAGTATTGCACAATGACTCGGAACAGCCGGCTTCAGGTTCCTGCTTATTCATGAAACTCTCTGCGTGACTTTGGGCCAGTCACTGGCTCTCAACCTAACGTACCTGACTGGGTTGTTGTGAAGATTAAATGGAAAGGTGGAGGAAGAAAGTGTCTTCTTGGAGTGAAGAGAGTAACATAAACATAACAAATAAAAGCAATACATTTATAGAGAATCCTCAACAGGAGCAATAGTTTAACATTCTAGTTTTCTTGCTCCAAAGAGGCTACTGACATTAGCCTGGTTCCTGAACTAACTTCATCTTAAAATTACACTGAATGCCACAATTTCATGCAGCTATTGGAACACCTATCTTTGTGCCAAAGATTTCTGCTGCCTACATTTTTGTGATTCACAACATAAATGAGCGATATCAGTGAAAGCTCAGAGACAGTTCCTGAATGTTGTGGATTTTTTTATGATGATAAATTGTATTATCTGTCATTTTGGATGGCAGAGAGACCTTTGGCACCATTAGGGACACAGCCCATGACTTCAGTGCAAAGATTTTCAATGTTCAGGGATCAAAAATTTTCCACTGCTGGTGCCAAATAAAGTAGTTGCTATTTTTGGTCTGAGATCAGCATTCCATCCTCATCTTATTCTTCTCCTCCCTCTCTGTCATTCCACAAACCCATTGGGAATAAAATTAAAAAGTCAAGAGTTCTTGGTCATGCATTCCCTTTAAGTAAGGGATCCAATATTACTTTTGTTTCTCAGCATCAAATATGAAAAAAAATGCTGTTATAGACTTACTGTGCAAACAGCATCTCTCTTGGATTACAATTCACCAGAAAGCTCTTTTGCTCAGCATCTCTGGTTAATTTCCATAAGGGATGTGGAAACGAATTCCCATCATGCCACATGAATGAAATCTATCTCATCTCCCACTGTGTCTGCCTCCATCCAGCAAGTATGAGTGATGTAGAGAACTGCATTGATTTCCTGATGAAAAGAAAGAACAGGTCATATTTAGGAGTTTAAGAAGAGCCATGGAGAGATTGCCTGTGGGATCCAGTGCTACATGCACAGTGAACCTTGAAAATCTGATTCCCTTAGAAGCAGTGGAGATGTGCTCTTAAGCACCTATTTAACACTGGCTGATGTGATGGATTTTCCAAGGAATTTCATTGTACAAGCTAATGCTATTGGCTTTGTGGTTTAGGTCCCCTATATTGACGCAATATAATTTGCATTAGAAAATTAACATAGCTGTATATTCTCTGATATCAAACACTTCAATATGCACTCTTATTCATCATGAGGCAAATACAGAAATTGGGAGATGGGTGTATGAGAAAAGCTTTAAGTGAATAATTTTAATATCCTTTGTAGTTAGTTCCTATACACTGTGTCTGATATTCTAAAACTTGCTGTGGTGCCAGTGATATATAAATATATATTTAAAACACTGCTTGAAATATCATTCTCTCTTTTGCATAGTTCTTCTGGAATCCCATAAGAAACCATATGCCCTCATCAATGACATGACTAGAGGCAGAATTAAATGAATCCAGCAGATGTTTTGCGAGCTAATTCACTGGGAACTCTTCACATTCTATTTTCCCTCATTCTCAAGAACTATGACCCTAATTTTAGCCAAGTCCTTCTGGTTCAAAATAGCTTGTATACAAAGCACAGAATATCTGTTCTTCCCTAAAATTTGGATGTTTATCCAGATGTGTTTTTCCCAGTTTCTAATTGCTAAAAATACAAGGGAACAAGTAGAATTTATCCCAAATTCACAGTCATGTTGAACAAGTTTTCCGGGACAGCCACTTGTGAAAACTGAGGCTGGGTTGATGAACCCAACCCTTCATCTCTAACCAGGGTCAGCCAACAAATTCAGTTGCCACAGTTGCCACTTTTATCATGCCTCTTTTACCTCTCTAGGCTGGCAGCTCAAGGTGGGGATACATCAAGAACCCAAACACAAGAGTTTTTGTGACTTCTGGTTGTTTTGGAGAATTTTCATGTCTTCGGAATTGTGTTTGGAAACTAATGCACAGAGTACTGTATTATGTGTATGGTGCTTTTTGTTTCTCCCTCACTGGTCCCCAAGGTGGTTTTCCTGTTTTTGCCAGTCCCCAGTGGGAAAAGTTGAAAACCACTTATCTACATAGTACAGACCATTCCACTTGCTCTGTCTCACATCTTTTGCTGTTAAACCATGAAAGATTATTCACTGAGACCTCTTCAGTGTAAGAACATAGTTTTATTATCACATTACATGTATAGCCCACCTCTTTTCTTCTTGTGAGGACCTAAGGTGGCTTACATGGTCTTCCTCCACTCCATTTCATTCTCACAACAGCAACTCCGTGAGGTAGGTTAGAATGAGAGTGAATAGCTTCATGGCTGAGTGGGGACTAGAACTCACTTCTCCCAGGCCCCTCGCCTAACAGTGAGCACTGAGGGTTCAAAAAAAAGGAATCCTGGACATTGCAAACAAGCATTACCATTTAATATTTAACCTCACCACTGCAGTCTGGTGTGCTGAACCGGTCATATTTTCAGCACCAGGTTAAGATGGCCCTCTTTTCTGCTGCTTTTAGCTCACCCACCTAGAGGCTTGAGAAAGTTCACCAGGAGTTTTGCAGAGTTTCTCTCTCTCACTCTCTATATTACTGTCCCTTTATTCCTTATTACTTTCTTTTTATTATTTGTTTTTGCTGTTTAAAAACTTTTGACCATTTTTTCTGATTTTCTGAGATTTTTATTGTACTTTTATCATCTTTTTAATGGACTGTGTAAATCACCCAGAGAGCTTCAGCTATGGAGCAGTGTAGAAATGCAGCAAATAAACAATACTTAGCAACCACTCCTTCAGCATATTCTTCTTCCTCCAGACACCCCAAAAAGAATTCAGAATGACAACGGATCAGTCTAATTGCTGCCACTGCATGGACACCCTCTGCGGAAAGCAGTATGCCATGAAGGAAGAGAAGGCCTACTGCGTCAGGTGCTATGACGGCCTCTTTGCCGCTTTCTGTGAGTACTGCAAGAAGCCCATTGGATGTGACTCCCAGGTAAGCCCATTGGATGTGACTCCCAGGTAGTGTCTACACAGAGATTGGGCTCCGCTGCTGAAGCATAACAAGATGACCGCATGTGTACAGTATTAGGCAGACTGGCAGCAACTCTAGTACACGTGCAGGAGCCAGGATTTTCGGGAATTTGGTGAAGCAGGCTGCCATGGCCAGTTCCCAGAAGCCACCACTTGGGGGGCCTAGTGGACAGCCACCAGGACAACCACCGTTCGTTCACCTGCCTCTCACCTGTCCCCACAATGGTGGGGGTAAGAAGGAGGCTCCTGTGGGGCAAATAAGTGGAGCAATGATGTGCAAAATGATTTGCTCCTCATAGTGAGGAGCCAATAGCAGCTGGTGGCAATGTATGAGTAGGGAGATCCATCGAGGGAGAGTGCCTTCAGAAAGGAATCTACAGGCTTCCTGCCAAAAAAGCTTCTGGATTCTTCCTCATGGGCTTCATGGACTCATTCTTGCTGTGTTGGCAGTTAGAGTAGAAAGGCAGAGCGGAGAAACAGCATCAAGTATTTAAAACCAACCAGAGACTTTTATAATATTTGATTCGGGACAGGCATGCGTCTGCTATGCTTGTTTAACCCTGAGTTGCAAAAGCATGCCATTTTCCTGGCCTATTTCCTAGTCAGAAATGAAGGAGCCAACCTGGTGCCTTCCACAGGTGCTGGACGACAGCTGCCCTCATCCCCAGTCAGCATGCTGTGGCGGGAGATGTCGCCTTATACATCTGGAGGGCATCCAATCTGGGGAAGTCCATCCTGGAGTCAGCCCTGTTGCTGGTGCCCACCCTAAAGCCATGAAGAAGGCTGGCAGTGTTCATTCTTGCTAGGAGGTGGTTTAGTGAGTTAACTAAAGTTCCCATCTATGGAAAAAGTGCTGATAATTTCATATACAGAAAGACTTTTTTAAGTACAACACCCCCCTCCCCCCAAAAGACCCCATGTTTGGAATCAGCATGATTTGTGCAGAGATAAGTTGGGAACATCCATATGAAATGACTAGTTTATGACCCGTGGTGCTAAGCTGCTGAAAAGATAAGGAGGTTTTTCATAGCTTACAGTTTCCATTCAGACACAGTGGGTTCATCCATCATTTGACTCCAGCACATAGTGAGATGTGGAATTGTTGCACTAACCTCATATAATTTTGTTGCTTTTTTAGTATCTGGGTTTTTTAATGCAGCAGATTGTATTGTTTTAACAACCCATTCCAGGGAGATTACAGCACTGATTTCCTTTTCTATCCTGGGCTTAATTCAACTGATAAGATCAAGCAAAACTTTTAAAATAAATTCCACTGACAAATCATCAGTGAAAAATGACTTCCCTTGGTCTGTACTAAAGATGGCCTCCACTGTGACTGCATGGATTCAAGGGGTGTTTCACAAGAAAATAAGTGACATTTATCATTTTTGTGTAATAACACTGTCTCCTCAAGCAAGATAACTCAAAAAAGATGTGTTTGGATTAAAATATTTTATTCACTAAATGACAACTTAATTTTGTTGTTTATCTCCCAGTGCTTCCCCACTCATCACAAAAATGACATTTTACTGGGAATGGGGACAATCACAAGTAAACTAACTTGATTTCTTTGGCTTTGTTTATCCTAGCCTTTTCCTTCAAATCTTAGGCAGAGTTTTCATTAGCACTCTGCACACCGGGGGGAGGGGACATGTAAACAGAGATGTGTGTATATTTCCACCTTTAATACCAATTTTGTACTCCTTGCAACTGATTAGACAAGATAGAATGATTCAATTGAGTCCCTTCCTCCTGCTGCTCTTCCACCACCAGGTTCTCTCTCTCTCACACACACACACAACCAAACATAATTATAAAATCAGCAAGTGGGTAAATTAGGCTGTCAGGAGGCAACCTAAGATGAAAGCCCATAGCTCAGTGATAAGAGCACATGCCTTGCCAGCATGATCTTTCTGGTTCAATTCCTAGCATCTTCAGACAGATTTTGGAAAAATTCCTGTTGGAAACCCTGGACATCTTCTACCAGTCCAGAAAGACAAACTGGGGCCAACACAACCATTTTCTTCCTGAAGTAAAGAATCGGGTGGCATCCCCTCCCGTCCCATGTACAAAAGCAGACCAGGCTGGCAGGTCCCTCTGAATACAAAACCAGTTATGGTGGGACAGCTGAAAGCTCTGCGCCAGCTTAGGTGGTGCTGGGCTGGCTGCAGGGCACACCCAGCTCTGCCACCCAACAATCTGCCAGCCTCCCTTCCCTCCTCCTGTGGAAAAGTGGTGCTGGCTAAAGTGAGCTAGATGGTGGTGAGCTAGTCTGTCTGGTGGCCTCACATGGCAGAAGGCAGCTCCCTACGTTGTGAACTATAGGAAGGAGAAGCAGTGGCGTCCTTTGCTTCATGAGCAAGAGGTGGTGGACTAGTTCTGGAAGGGGACTGAACCAAAGGGGCACGGGCCACATATCCTCTTCCAAACTCTAGTAAATATACAGCTTGTACAGCAACTAGAAGAAAAGCTCAGGAAAAACAAAACAAACCCCAAAACAGCAAAACCACAGAATATTGGTGAGAATATTCAGGTCACTTCTAACCCTTCTTCCAAAGCCAGCAGCTCACAGTGCCTTCTAGCTGATTCGACCCAACTGGATTTTCCCCCCAAGGAAGCGAGCTTTCCATTAACAGCTATTTACTGTTTCCAAGGACCTTGCTTATAAAGGCCACCACTGGCATGAAGTGTGCTTCAAGTGTGCCAAGTGTCATCACTCTTTGGTCGAGAAGCCTTTCGCTGCCAAAGATGAACTCCTGCTGTGTACAGAGTGTTATTCTAATGAGTATTCTTCAAAGTGCTTCCACTGCAAGAGGACCATTATGCCGGGTAAGATAGCGAGCAGTTTGCTAATTAAACCAGCAGGCTTGCATGGCACTTTTAATTCACTTTGAGCAATCGACCAGTGGAGTTCAACCAAAAGTTTGGTTCAGAAAGGAGGAATTACTTCTTTTATCCAAGGTCTTTTTTGCATGATTCACAGCCTTTGCCAGGTTGCAGGGATGTTGCTGTTTGCTGTTCAGTCCACCCACCAAGGGGCATTCCAGCTTCTTCTATATATACTTTTGTTAGAGATACTTTTGTTAGAGATGTGATTATTTATTTATTGAATATCTTTCCTTACTGCCCAATAGCTGAAGCTGTTGAGAGAGGTTCACAAACCATACGATACAGTAACATTGTCCACACAATATAACAACTTGTAAGTTTGAAACAGGATAAAAATAAAACAAAAAATAAAATAAAAACCAGGGTAAATGACAGCAGCAGTAGCACAAAGATCTAAAACTGCACTAATGCAGTTTTTAAAACTGAAGGTCTAGAAAGCCTGGGATTTTTTAAAGGTCTTCGCCTGGTACCAAAAAGACCACAATGTAGGTGCCTGGCAATCCACTCTGAGGAGGGCATTCCATCACTGTGGTCCCACAGATTAGTTCAATATCATTGGGAGCTACTGAATAGTGCCTGGTCCCCACTGGCATACTTTCCACAATGCAGAGTAACACTTGCTCTGGATGACACAGCAGACCAACAACAGTAAGATTTGATCATGGCTTCTCATGTTGGACAAACCCACCAACTGCGGTAGTCTTGAAAAGGTACTCAGTGTGTTCCAGAAGAAGCTATATCAATTTTATGTCTTTCAGGACTTTTAGCTGATTGTTTTCATTATGCTTTCCTGAATTTAATCAATGCATATACTAAAAAGCTGTTTTCATGACCTGCCTTCCATTTTTCTGTGTGTGGTGACAGCTCCCTTCACCAATCTCTTCAAATAATATCCTCTCAGTTTCTTGAAAAGACAGTATTAAAAAGTTCCAATTACCTAATTGGAGATTACTTAATTGAAAATAGTTGCCATTCTATATTATTTTGACTTATTTACACTGCTCTTGGAATCCAATTAATTAAACATCACTTAAGTGGTTGCAAAATGTTGCTGATTTACCAAATCAGCTTGACCTTCTGTTTCATCAGGAAAAGCACAAAACATACAGGCTGTATTCAGCCAAGAGAAGCCATGGTGCTTTTTTAGCATTGTTGATCTGTAGTGTACCTTGAACCCAGTCATGGTATTTCACCATGGGAAGATTGGTTTTTAGAAACCATGAGAAGAAACAACGTTTTGTTCTATGGTTTCTCAGTAGTATCATGGCTTGTTGTGCTGTCTGAATCTACACAACTACCACAGAATCCTCCTTAAAGAGTGGCAACTACAGGAGACACTCTAGCCATCTAGCCTCTATGAGTGGTCTAATGAGGAAAAGGCATGTGGCATAGGCATGGAGTGATGCATGTTAGAATTAAATTTCAGCACAATGGCTGCTGGAATACAAGCCAACATTGGGAAGACTGAGCAAGGCAGATGGAAACCACAATAAAGTAGAAACCGCTTTATTGTCTGTCTCGTAGATAATAGTTTTAAAAAACCAAATCATGATAACCACGCAGAGTTGCTTGACATTTCATGTGAACCCAGCCATAGAGTGACAAAGTTTGTGGAAAATTTGTAGAAACATAGAAAATGCTTCTTTTGTAGTAAACTGCGGCATCAACCATCTGCATTGTTATTTTTCTTCTTAGTAGAATGTATTATGTGTATATCAATATTTCTATACCACCCTTTTTGCCAAGATGATATACCAGCCAGGCTGGATTTTCTTTACTATATCCTATTTCTGTAACCTCAGTCTAGTTCTGTTTTGAGTTGTACCAATAGTCATGTGTAATTTGCTGAATGAACAGAGGTAAAAACCCAGTAATGAATAATGGAAGACGAATGTCCAAATTGTCATATCTTGACTTGAGAACATTTGCCCAATTATCCAATAAATGGACTGGATTTGTGCCTGGCTCGGCAGGTTCTCGTAAAATGGAATTTAAAGGAAACTGTTGGCATGAAGCTTGTTTTGTTTGCCAACACTGTCAACAACCATTGGGAACAAAGCCACTGATTACCAAGGATGATGACAACTATTGTGTGCCTTGTTTTGAGAAGCAGTTTGCTCAGTGTTGTCACTCCTGCAAAAAGGTAAGATCACAAATGAAAATATTGGGGGCAAAGTGGGATGTTGCCACAGCCTTTCTTGCACATGGAAAGACAATGACTGAGTTCAGACAACACAAGCCCACTCCAAGGTTGACTGTGGGCTATCTTTGAACCATGGATTATTGCTGAACCATGCAATATTATGTTGCCTGAACCCAGCTGGGATAACAAACCAGAGTGAACAGCCTATGGTTCATATCACATCAACTAAGGATGGACTCTCCTCATAGGTTGTCCAGGATTAACTGGCCGTGGCCTGTTAGCACAACTGGGTTCAGACAACATGATAACCCATGTTTCAACAGTTCAATGAACCCACAATTCAATGACAATTCATACTCGATGCATAGTTAACCCTTGACTGTGGGTTTTTGAGTTGTCTGAACCAAATTATTTCCTCTGGTCCTCAGGTCTGATTACATTTCCTTGCCAAGAAAGAAGGGACGAAGGGCATATTCCAGAACTGTCCACTCACCCCTTCAGCAAGGGGTGCTAAACTCAAGTTCTCTGACTTCTGCCTTGAATCTTGGGCCCCTTTGTCCCCATCTAAAAATGAAAGCCTTTGTTGTTGGAATAGGAAACAGATGTTTTTATTTCATTATTCAAAGCATGAAGCCAAAGGTGTACTTCTTCCCTTTAGATTAAAACTTGTAAATACATTCTTTTTTTAAAAAAAATGCACAATTTATGCATTTTTCTAGTGAACACATTTTGCAAACATGATTACAATCTTAGGTATGGAAGAGAGTTTCTTGAAAAATGCATGTGCATTCAGGAGAGCAAGCAGAGCTACTTTTAGAGGCAAATAACTGAGGCAAATTTCTCACCCATCTCTGAACAGCCCTGAACATGTATTCAGCTCTCCTACATGTACCTGTATTTGAAGAACATGTGTACATTCTACAGCAGGGATGGATGAATCTGTTAGTGACACTTCCTTCCACATTCGATTTATCTGAATTTCATTTCTCCCTTGTCTCAGTTAGTAGAAAAATTGCTAGCTGATTGCAGGTTCCAACCTGTCCCAGAGTCCAGCAAAAGGCCACCAACTCTTTTTGCCCTTCAGTTTGCCCTGCTATTTCAAGGGAAGGGCAAAGAGTATGCACGTGGGAGTACTCTATGCTGCACAGTAGCAAATTCTGAATGAAGTACGGCTGTGCAATTCACATGTATCTTCCTTTCCACTCCTCTTATTATATAGATTGGGATTGGAGGCATCTTTATGCTTTTCACTTGGAAGTGCCAGATATGTTAATGGTGCTCTATAAATCATGAGGGTGACATGGGGCTTAGCTCTTGAAATGCCTTCAGTGCCAAGGACCATCTTTAGAACATAGCACATCCTATCAAGCAAATTACCCATCTCTGAAAGGCAAACCCTCAGGACACTGATGAATAATAATACTTCTGAACATGTGCAGAGTGCCTTTCCCTTCTTAGGACCAAGACAATGATACAGCTTTTCCTTGTCAGAGTCATAAATTTAAAGCAGGCTCCTTCTCTTTTTAGAAATCTAATATGGACAATTACTGACTTTAATTTTGCACTATTTGATCACCTCTGGATTCAACTTCCAACTCCTAATGTTCTTATCTCATTCCTTAGGTGATCACCTCTGGTGGAGTGACTTATCGTGACCAGCCATGGCACAAAGAATGCTTTCTGTGCACTGGCTGTGAGAAGCAGCTTGCAGGGCAACGGTTTATTTCCAAAGATGAGCATCCGTACTGCCTTGAGTGCTTCAGCAGATGTCATGCAAAGAAGTGTGTGGCTTGCAGCAAGCCCATCACAGGTGAGTATTAATTATACAGGTATTAATGGGGAGCCTCTACTTTTGGCAGTCACAGAATAAGTTAACCTGCAATAGCCCTTGCTGGATTTTGGGTTCCATACCTCGACTTTTCTGAAATCCATTTGTCATCTGGGTCCTTCAAATAATTAGGATGAACTGAAGAGCTGTCTTCTCCCCCTAGGATGCTAAATGTCAGGAGTGGACAACATGCAGCGCTTGCTCCCCCTCAAGGGTGGCAAAAGCAGCACCGATTTGTTGACAAAAATTGGTGGAAAACTGCTATGAAACAGACTCAACTACATACGCATTGACGGCATAAATGAGTGTCCCATTTCTGACAGAGAGGCTAAATTTCTTGATGTCCTGAATGAATGTGTCCTACTGCAGCTGGCCATGGAACCAATCAGAAGGGCTACAACTTTAGTCCTAGGTAGGGCTGCCAAGGATATAGTACAGGATGTAAATGTTTATTTTATTTATTTATTTATTTATTACATTTATATAAAAACTGCCTATTGTAATGGCCACCCAATGCTCTCTGGGTGGCCATTACACTAAAATATCAGTAATAACATTAATAAAATAATACAATTAAAATATTGTAAAAATAGACAAAATAAAGCATGACATTTGAGAGAGAGAGAGAGAGAGAGAGAGAGAGAGAGAGAGAGAGAGAGAGAGAGAGATCAACAAAGCATTAAAATTAATACATTATGTTGTTGAGCCAAAAGGAAACAATGACCACAGTGGTATCAGATTTAATATACAGTTAGATGGAAGACTGCTAAAGAGGTCAAACACAGTTGCGTTTGATGTCATAAGAGGAAACTTTACAAAATGTAGGGAACGGCTTAAGCAGAAGTGGAAGAAGGGATCCAAGATGTTTACATCACTTCAAAGCACTTGGAGATTACTTTAAAACACTATAATAGAGACGCACATGAAATGCATACCACAAGTGATACAAGGAAGCACAAAGTCCAGGAAATCATCAGCATGTTCAGTGCATAGAAACAAGGAAGCTATTGGAAGGAAGCTTCCTTCAAAAAATAGAAGTCTTGCCCAGTTGGAAAAAAGGAGATGTGAGCAGACAATCAGATAAGCCAGGAAACAGTTTGCCACAAGATCAAGGTTACAATAATGAATTATTTGAAGGAGAAGGAGAAGGAAGCACCCGGGACATTGCAATAATGGAATTAAAGGAGCATTTGATCAGATTGTGGAGGAGCTAGTTGTTTGTTTATTTCATCAGCTTTTCATCAGTCTTCATGGCAGAGGATGGCAGATACTTGTTTCTGAAATTCTGTATTCTGTAAGAGAGTCTGAGGAACTAAGGCACACCAGTGACAAAGGATGCAATTGTCAACCTGATTGACAAACTGAAAGCTAGCAAGATGCTATTCATCCTAGAGTTCACAAAGAACTCAAGTGTGAAATTTCTGGTCATATTATCAAAATACTTAATATAATATTACATAATTCCTTGTTCCAGAGATGTGATTAATGACCAATGAAATATCAATTTTTAAAAAGGAGTCCAGAGGGAATCCAGGAAATTACATGTCAGTTGCATCTGTTCTGGATAAACTGTTTGCTCTGGGTAAATTCTGCTTGAGAGCATTGTTAAAGATAGAATCATTAAGCACATAGTAGAGGGACAACCATTACTGGAAAAAAATCAGTGTGGCTTCCGCTAGGGGAAGTCATTTCTCACTAGCCTGTTGTCGGTCAGGAAGCACTTAGATGGGGCAATTTTTTACTTGGACCCCCAAAAGTCTTCCTCACCAAAGGCAATCATGGAATAAAAGGAGGGAGCCTCTTATGGATCACTAACAGATTAAATAGCAGAAGCCAGAGGGAGGAATAAATGGCAATTTCTCTCAGTGGACCAATGCTTTTCAACCTATTCATAAATGATCTTGAATTAGGATTAAGGAGTAAAGTTGCCAAGTTTTCTGATGATACTAAACCATTTTGGGTGGCTTAAAACTAAAAGAGATTGTGAGGAGTTCTAAAGGTATCTCACCAAGCAGGGAGAATGGGCATCAAAATGGTAAATGCAGTTCTGTGTAAGCAAGTGTAAAGTAATACATGTTGGGGCAAAACATCCCAAATTCAAATATACCCTGATGGGATCTGAGTTAGCAGTGACTGAGCAAGCAAGAGATCTTGGGGTAATAGTGGACAGCTTGATGAAATGTAGGCTCAGTGAGCAGCTGCTGTGAAAAAAGGAATAATTAGGAAGAGAATAGAAAATAGAACTGTCAAAATCTTAGTCCTCTTATACAAATTTTTGGTTTGATCACTGCCTTTGCTGGCTAGGGAGCATGGAAATTGTAAGCCAAGACTTATGGAAGACCACAAGTTGTACACCTGTATTCTATAGCATGCAGAATTTTATACATTTCTATTTTATTCCTACTTACTCATCTTTTTCTAAATGAAATAGCCCCAAACACCAGCACGCTGAGCATTTTGGTTGCTATGTCCTTCTTACTGTCTAGTTCTGGCCTCATCCACAGCTTCTGTCCAGCAGGTAACACAGAGCAAAGCACCACACAGCTCTTACCCTGCGAAGCTTTTCTAGCTTCAGTTCTAGCTGCAGTTCAAGCAGCACTTTTGATAGCATTTTGCATAGCAGCTAGTCTGTTTGACCAGTTATGCATATCCACTTTGAGGGACTACGTTTATTGACTTTAACTTCAAAGACACACCAACTAAGTAAACTGCTGGACTACTATTATCAGAGTAAAGAGGCTTAATAACTTACCCAATGCCATTGTCTTTTTATTTAAATACAAATCAATAGAGCACTCAAAGTATTGATTCTTCTTTCTGCTCTTATATATTGCTTCATATGTGACAGAATCACCTAGGCAATGTGTTAATTAAAAGAGGTATACGTATTCAAGCAATTTCTTCTTTTACCCTTTTTACAGATGACTGTTACATTACTTTTAGCAGAATATGCAGTTATAAGAATAGCACAGGTTTAAGGACTGTAGTCTACCAAGCAGTTCAGCAAAGCAATTCCATGCCCCCTAGACAATATTGGGGCCGGGGGAGCATCTGAGCCTTCAGACTGGCAGATTCAGTGTCAGAAAAGACCTTTGACCTTGGAAGTAGGAATCTGTGCTCACATCACCCACAGTAACACAGCAAGAGCTGCAGCTGCTGCTTCTCTGAGGTTCTAAGATCAGCTTCAGTGAGGGAATACAGGGGCTGTTCCAGAGAGGAGGAGGGTAAGGAACTGATGGGATATGACATATCCTGGTGGTTCTCCAGCTTTCTTCCCTCCATCCCTGCCCAAAGCTAGATGAACAAAGTTATCCACACCGAGCTGACTTGCAGGGCAGGAAGAGTACAGAACATGGCCTCCATGCTCCTCCTGATCTGTGGAGGATGCCTGTAATATCTTTGCCTGTATGTTCAGAGGATTACAGACATCCCCAATGAATTACACTCCTACTGAATATTTCAAAGATTGTCAGTTTGACTCTGGCTCCATTCATCTGTGGGAGCTTAGAAAGAAAAAAAATGCAATAATTTATTTTTCCCCCTACAGGGGATCCTTTAATTAAAAATGTACTGAAATTTGTCATCAAGCTACAAATCCTGACCTAGCCTACCATCAGGACAATAAACTACTGAGAAAGGAAACCTGGAATCTAGCCTTCAAGGTCTGAGCAAGGATGGAATCTACATGGGACTTGATGCTTTCTTAATCATGCTTATAATACACTCCTGAAAATCAATGGGATAACTTAGTGACAAGTAAACTTTGATGTAAAATAAGCCTCATTGATTTAAACTGATTTACATCTGGATTGATCCCATGTTGTACCATTATGCTTCTCAAGACATGGAATGGTCCCAATGGGAGAGTTGTGCCTTTTGTAAGGCTAATCACTGCCTGGGGAGGTTTGTTTGGACTTGTGACTGGGGAGGGGGGGAGGGAGGGAGGGAAGGGTCAGGGCTCCATGGACCACAGACTATGGTCCTAATGAAAATCAGTACCTGTACCTTCCTTTTTTATGTGATATGCTTTATAATGACAGATCATGTCTACTTCAGCCTTCCAAATTAACCCACTGAGATGATGACTATGAGAATTAAGTGAGGGAAATCCCATGTATGTTACCCTGCTCTTCTTGGAAGGAGCATTGGATCCAAATATAATAACAGCAAGATCCCCTTCATTTCTGATGATCATGTATATGCCCAGCTGTTAAAATTACACTTTCCATTGCCCTAGAACTGCTGTCCTTGATATGCACTAGGTTTGGGAGATGTATTGGCCTCGAGATGTTGTTGGATTAAAATTCCCATGATCCCCTATGTTGGCTTCAACCAATAACAATTCAATAACATCTGGAAGCCATTTGTTCACTAACTCCCTGGTGTAAATAGATGTGTGTTTCAGTACTGGAAACTGCAGAATGGAGATGATCCTCTGATATTTGCACTAACTTAGAACATTCTGAATGGTCCAGAGCAAGCCAAACTGTAAATGAATCATTTGCTTTTCTCATTTGTATTTCTTTCACATGCAAACAAGAAATACATGCAAATACATATCTGTGGCACCTCTGCACTGCAGGGAGTTCTGCGCTGTTGTTGTTGTTGTTGTTATTTTGCATTTATCTCCCTAGTACTCTGGCTTGATGGGAGAGAAATCCATGCATCTAGGAAAAAAATATATGTGCAGAAGGCATTTGTCTGTGTGACAGCAGAGGTACTTAGCTTTACTCTGCAGCCTTCATATTCTTAAAGTTAAAGAATAGAGCCTGCCAGCTACAGACACGCTGCTTTAAATATAAATGGCTTATAATTAAAGGTTTGGCAAACACTCAGAGGCTATTTTAAAAGTACTTTAAGACCATTAGCTGGATCTCTTAAAACATAAATGGAATGACCTTTTGCCCCAGTTCTGAGGAATAAACTTGGCAATTAATTACTAGTCCCACCATTCAAAGAAAGGGAAAAGGAAAGAACTGGAAAATTCAGTCAGCTATGATAATTGTTCCCTACCAGACACTCATGCACACCAGGTGACCCTGGAATTTTATTAGGTAGGCAAAGTTAATTGCATGTATTCAGATACTACTGTTCCTTGGTTCCATAAAAATGTGCTTTGTATACATCTTTCTTGGAATGTATAACTTACCTAATTTTCATACGTATTTTAGATGTATACCCCATTCTATCTAACAAGGTTATGGTCAGTAGCTGCAGCTCTTTGCCTGGGTTCATATGACACAACAGCCCATCCTAGGCAACATGCTGGGGGGGATGGGGTTTTTGTATTGTGTGAACGTGGGTCAGTTCTCACAGGGTGGGTTATTCATGGGCAACAAGCCACCCCAATGGTCTATGGCTTATTTCTGCTGCTCTTGGACCCATGATGGTTTGTTGTGAGAACAGACCCATTGCGAGTTGCAGGTAGCAAAGCTGCCTTGCTACTCTTGCTGAGCTAGATCAGGCCACTGTCAGCATCACCCACCCCACTGAAGGCCAAAAGCCCAGTGAAATGGCAACCACAGACTTGCCCCTCCCTCATGTTTGCAAACACTTTTGCACTTGCCACAGCTTTTTTACACCCCTTCCCCTTCTTTCGAATTGCTCTAATACAAGCCTTTGCATGGACATGTGGAGCCATGAATGTAGATGTCCTGGTCAAAACACTTGGGTAAGCTCCTTTAGAAGGAACCAGAATTTTAACAGCTAAATGTCCAACTTTGTGCCGCCATAGCAAAGGGTAGCTCACACTTTTCCACTGCCCCAAGTGCCTAGTACCTCAGCAAAAGGTGGCACGGTGCAAAGGAACTGAGAAGAATCAGTCTAGAAAAGAAAGGAACCAAGAGGGCCTCACCACCAAGGGGTGATCCAGTGGCCAACCTCTTTCTGTGACCAAAGATCACCCACAGTTCTGATTCTTCTTGTGAGCTCGGTTTTGGACCCACTCTGGGTCAAGGCACATGGGAGGTGTCTGCTGCACTTTGATAGCAGATACCCCAGGATGTTGCCCAGGCTAAACTTGAGCCCATACAAGTTTAACAGCAACAAAAAAAGTATGAAGACATAGGAACGTAGCAAGTCAGAAGGGCCATCTAGTCTGACCCCCAGGTCCAGCTGGCCCCGCTCGTATGATACCCAGCATGTGCTTGCCCAGTCTTTCCTTGAACACTCTTACTGATGGGGCCCCCCCACCTCCTGTGGAAACCCGTTCCATAGCCTAAGGGCCCTAACGGTCAGGAAGTACTTCCTGATATCCAACCTGAAACCTGGTTCCTTGAGCTTCTCACCCTTGACCTTATTCTTTCCTCCACTGCAGGGGAGAACAGGTCACAACCCTGCAAAGTTTGGGGGAAATTGCACAAAGTTGCACTGAAAGAAAGAAAGAGTGGTGACAAACCACTAGCAACTCTTCCGGTGTGTTGCTTCAGTACTTTGATGGGGCTGCCACTAGCTATCAAACTGCAGATACAATGGTGCCTCGTATTTCAAACTAAATTCATTTCAGGAAGTTGTTTAAACTCTGAACTGTTTGGAGTCCAAAGCAATGTTCCACATTAGAAACAATAGAAAGTGAATTAATCTGTTCTTCGAACCTGAGCAATACCCATCTCGATCAACTCAAACAGCTATTTAGAGCATTATTAGAGCACACACTAAATGCCTTTCCGATCCCACTTTTCATTTCCTATCTTCTCCTTTTAGCTTTCGGTGGAGCCAAGTTTATCTCATTCGAGGATCGCCAGTGGCACAGCGAGTGCTTTAACTGTGGCAAATGTGGCAGCTCCCTGGTGGGAAAAGGCTTCCTTACGCAGCAAGACAAGATTCTCTGCTCCAAATGTGGAAGTGCCGTATAGCTCGAGAGATCCAGAAATAAAATTCCTGTGACTTGCCCTGCAGTTGAACCTCATATGCAATTGCCTGGTGGTCAGAAATCCACCTAACAGGCATAATGGATGTTTAGTCATGAATTCTCTCTGCAGCTGCATTCATTCTTTATATCCTGCATAGCCACTTTAAAAATAGAACTCTTGCTGGGCAAACAGTTCCAACGATCTATTATCTTGAAAGTGTTTGGTGTGTGGGTGTGTTTTCCCTTGTAGAGAGTGCACTCTACTGCTGGAAGGCCGAAAGTGTACAATAGCATGTTAACGACTAGTATAGAGAGTTTATATGATAGCTCTGTTATAAAAACACAAAACAGCACTTCTCTGAAAGCAGTCTTGATCACTGTATGGCACCAGCTGTGTCCTTTTCATATCTGAAAAGAGAAATTGGAGAGGTCTGGAAAAAAAAAGAGTAACACAGTTGTGCATTATGGTCTTGGAGAAAAAAAAATGGGGACAATTATATTCTGCTAACCCTTGAAGATAATTTTCTTCATCGCTTCCCAGGACAAAACCCACCAGAAAATGTCAAACTAGAGGTGATCTGGAAGTTCTACGAATTTAGTTCCTGATCCCATGTTGGTTTGGATTTGGGTTTGATTCCTTTTCCTTTTCCCAAGAATCAGCTCATGGTTTGGATCAGGAATACAGGTTGGACATAACACTTTGCCCCCATACTGGTTCCGCATGCACATCACACACGCACACCATTAGCCACAAAGCCATATTTTGACTGCATTTATTGCTCTATTGCTACCAGCAGCTTTGGGGAGAATGGCAATTTGTACCTGGAAATTTGTGTGTGGGCAAGGAATTAAATTGAAGGTCCCACCCTTCCTTTCTAAGGCAACCTCCCTAGCCTGCCACTGCTTTTGCTGAAGAAGGAAGCATCAGGAGCTTTAATCAGGGTACTTTGATAAGTGAACCTTGCCTTATGCTGCGCTCTTGTTTTTTTTTCATACAATTCCCATTATCTCTCATTACTGTCTCTGTTAAGAACAAATATAGGTCAAAACATTAGGGCAGCCAGACATTGCCACCCCTGCTATATCCCACGAATGTAATGAGATTTTCTTCTGCGTAGACATGTGTGGGATTGTACTGCTGCAGAAGAGACTCCACTTGAATAAAAACATCTGTGCCTAGAGAGAGGACAATACTGTCTTCCAAAGTCTGGAAGCAGCTATTAAGAAGGCCTTCTGTCATGCTCCCATCAAGCATGCCTCCGATGGCAGTGAGATAGAGACTAAACTATCTGATTGTCCTTCAAAGTGCTGATTCCAGTCATCTTTCTAAATATCTATTGCAGATGTCTAATTATGTTTCTTGCTTGCTTTTCTTTTGCTCAAAGCATGAGAAAGGACTACAGTTAGTGGCATGTGCTGCCATGCAAAAGTTTGTACTCTATGTTTATTGGCAGGTTTATTTTTCCCACCTGCTTGAAGTATAATTTGTGAAGCATAATCTATATTCCATCAGTAATGGTACCTGTAAGCCGTACCATCTCTGCATTTCCCTGCTTTCCTTCTCCAGCTGCCTGTGTTGCTCTTCTCATGCAATTTCTTCCCACTTAGCAAGGCTTCAGCTATCAAAAATAGAACTAGGTTGCAAGGCCTAAAAATAAAAATCACGGATGGAGGCACATGTGTGCAGTGATTTATCAGAACTGAATGCACTGGTAAATGCCTGATGGTTTGCAATACATGATCTTAAAATAAAAAATTTACACTTAACTCAAAGTAACTGTTTTCTAACACTTTTCTTTAACAGGACTTGTAAAAGATTTCTGAAAGGAAAACCAATGCAATTGTGTATTTTTCAAAATTTTAAGGAGATTCAGTCCAAATCATGCCCAATTTGCTAAACGGCTAAATATAGAAATGATGCATCTGGACCAGAAACCTCCATTTGTACATATTCAAGTATGTGTGTGGGTGTGTATAAACTAATCCTATCCAAAGTTTATTTTGAAGTAAAATAAACCATGTTTCTTCTATATGTAGTAAAGATATGTAAAATATGTCCCTTTTTTCCTTGGAATTCTCTGCTTTTCATTCCATCTTCCTTGATATCCATGAATACTTGCAGAGTAGCTCAGATATTCTTATTTTTAGGAACCTCAAGCATAAATTTAGATTTTAGTGGGACAAACATTCAAATACTGTCACAGCAGAATGGGATAGAAAGAGTAACAGCCGAGCAAATCTATTTCTCTCTCCTTTAGACATCTACTTCTCTTTCTTCTGCCCAAGGCTCTTAAGCATGGACAGGGCAAGCATGAACTTTGCTAGGAATAAGGCAAAAGGGAGAGCTGGACAGAAAAGGAAAAATACTGTCCTGCAGGGCGTGTTCACATGACACAACAACCTTCCCTGAGAATAAGCTTTGCAGAGTAGGCTGTTCATGAAACGTTCACAGAATGCTGGGCTCACTGTGGCTTGTCCTCGCCTTCTTCCCCATTGTGCCAGCATCTGGAGTGGTGACACAGCTCCCCCTGGTGACAAGCAACTTAATTCACCCAGCCAGTGCCTGCAGGAGCAGGAACAGACTTGTAGGTACTTGCACGGCACAGCAGAAAGCTCTGGGAGGTCCATTAAAGGGCTTCCCCGCATGGCTGAACTTTGCTGTAGCAACACAACCTTCTTGTTGGCTGCATCATGCTCCTGACCCTGCTTCCAACTTTGCCCGTCTCTTCCAGCTTCTATTTCTTCCCTTGGCTTCAGCCTTACCCTGCTTTGCTAGGTACCAGCTCCTTGTTTTCTTTGACTTAGTCTGGCCGGTATCTGACCTTAGCTTGCCTCCAGACCTTGCCTTTGCCTCTGGCCCTGCTTCATTCCACTGAAACCTCCATCTTGCTTGGTTCTGGTGCTCCAAACAGACATCTGCTGTCCACATCCCACACCTGGCCCATGGGTCCTCCAGCAGGTATCCCAGAGGAAACTGTAGCAAAATCCATGTTTTCTCCTTTCTCCTTGTTGATCAGAAGCATTTGTGGATTCGCCATGCCTTTTTTAAACCCTTCCCCCCCATTTTTTCTTGGAATTCATTTTTCACAATCTTCAAGTAGAAGATCTGGAAAAATCAGTTTTATTTTGAATGATTTGGATTAGAAATATGGTGGCTGGTTTTGCTTCCTAGTATTTGCATATGTACTATAAACTTTTGCACACTAGCATTGCAACAGAAATGCTGAATTCATCTTAAGGCTCAGTTCATGCTGGCCAGATAATACTGAGAATTGTACATTTTCCTGTCTTTTTTTCTTGTCAAGCTTTTAAATAAACATATGCACAGGATTGCACCTTGTGTTGGACATCCTAAAGTAGAGACCCTTTTATTATATAAATGCTTTAAAATTTTCATTAGCTGATTATTTTCAAAATTAGCATTGCATTAGGAATATCATATTATGGATGTAATCCTACACTAATATTAAGGCCCATTGAAATGAACAAACTTCTGCACACACATTGGGCACAGAAGTACAATCCATCAGATTTTGACTATAATCCACTAGATGGCATAACATTGCTGCTCTCGAGTCAGCAAGTCTGCTTAGTATCTGATTTTATCAGTGCTATATCAAAAGAAAGCAGAAAAAAGAAAATAAACACAGCGTTGACTTCAACACTGCTAATATTGATTTAGGCCAGATGCACACCTGCCGTGTTTTGAAAAAATATATTATGCAACTTATTACACTGATTGAATAGCATCCCTCATCATTCATATACTGCTAGTGCAGCATGTTTGGGTACCATGGAAACTGATACACAAACTCTTGAAAGGCTATCTAATTCTGTCACTGTTCACACCATGATAACAGAAGACAATGTAAGTGAAATACTGCCCAGATCACATGGCTACTTTCCACACCAATGGCAATAGCCCCAGTGGACACAAGGAGACACTGATGTGGGAAGTGCTTGTAGGATTTGAAGAGCCCTGTCAAGAAATATTTTTAGGTTCCAGTGAATCTCCTCAATGTGCAGAGAGGAGCCAAAAATCTATATTGAGGCTACATGTATACACTTTGTACACACAGAGGCTCTGCTATGCAAATCTTCATGTGAACATACAGAGATCTCATGTAGAACCAGCTGCCATCATCCACTGTCTTTGACCCATGTGTTCCATGTGCTGTATTTATTCTCGGAATGGAGCAGAATTACCCGTGCAATGAGGGGATACAAGAATTTCCATACTGAGAGCAAGAATACTTCTAGTACAGAAGTGGAGAATGTCTGTCCTGGCAGCCTAGTCCTGTCCTTTTCTCCTGACCACTGACCATTTGGTGGTTTAATGGCTTTTAATGGTGTATATACTTTTCCACCATTCTGAAGGTTTCCTAATGCTTAGTTAAAATAAGACATCCAAGCTAAATTATGCTAGTGTTTTTAGAAGTGGAGTAGTTTTGCTTTTGGATCTATTAGTTTTGCCTTTGACCTGCCCACTTCTACAGTGTGGTCTCCAAGGGCTTCTCTGAAATGGAATCAGACCCCAGGGATGGAAGAAGTTGGACACCCTGACCTAGACCACCCTGACCAGCATGGCCAACAGGATGCCTATCCAAGTGAAGGAGCCTGATTCGCTTAACTGACGCTATTTGCTTTTAGTTTAACTAACACTATTTTGAAGGAGCCTGATTAACTTAACTAACCCTATTTTAAAAAGCTGCTTCCATAGGAGCTTGGTTAGTCTAACAAACGCCATTTGCTTTTTGTAAAACTGCTTGCTTTGGAGAGGAAAAAGGGAAAGCAAAAGAATGTTGATAAAGTAAGATGAAGAGGTAGTGTGAAGAAGACCCCCCACGCAAGGTCTGGCACACAATGATCACACTCCCCTGTGAGGGGACGGGATGTAGATAAACACCGGCAGGAGGTCAGACATGCAAAAGTCAGGCAGGCCCTGAGAGAGGATTGGGTGAGGGAGCAATGGGGGCGAGATTAAGTGGGGGGGGGAAGGAAAAAGGTATAAAAAGGATGAGTTGGTGATATGTGGGGTGTGTCGCTGCCTGCCTGCGTGTAGGGAGTGGACACCTCGTTGCTTTGCTCAGCTGAATAAAGAAAACTGAACGAATCTCCGCCTCACTGAACCTCATTGGCACTTAGTTTAGTGCACCTGGCTAGCAGGGACCTCAACACAAGCTGAAGCTGACCACAAATATAAGGCAATTAGGAGCACAAATATAAAGCAATTGATAATGAATAGGACCCCAAGTGGGATTTATTTGTGGTACTTTCATTTAGGAAACCAAGTGAAGCAGTTCTGGTTAAAACAAAACAAACAGTATGATGTGATTTTGCAGAGATTTGGATTTAGAGGCAAGCAATATCCTAAGACCTTGGATTGTGGTAGTGGATAAAGCAGTCCTGCACCATCTACTCAGCTAACCATTCTACAGCTGGAACGAGTGCCAGCGTCAGTGGTGACCATGGGGAGGCATCTGTGAAAGCCTACACTCTCGCAGGGGCCCACTGTCGAGAGCCTCCTGGGCCTGTTCTTCCTCCTCACCATTACAACTGCTTGTCCTCTGGCCAAGAGAGTGGTGAATAGTAGATAACACCAGCTACTTGCTTCCTGAGGAAGTGCTTCCCAGGACACAAGTGGCAGTGATGATGAGAAACCAGATATGGAGTGACAGCAGCTGGTGACAATGGCAGTGAAATATAGAGAAAGGGGTCCCATCTAGCTATCTAGCTATCTATTGCACCTCTATACTACCCCATAGGCTCTCTGGGCAGTTTACAGATTTAAAAGACATGTAAAGAACCAGTAAAATAATAATATTTAAATAAACAATAAAGCCAATACAACAAGATCAACAACCCACAGCAACTGTAATAATCTTAATAAGTGGCATAGCAGCAATAATAAACACAATATTAAAACAACTCTTACCTATTAACATATCTGGAAAATAAAAAGACCATGTCACAAAATAAATAAAGGATTGAATATTGCAAAAGTAATATGAAATAGTCACATTACTAATAAATAAATTATGTTTCTTAGGTTTCCCATGCCTTTTCTTGATGTAAGAGCAAAAAGAATTGCTAGTCTAACACTGTGTTTATAAACATTAACTTTTCTTTATTCCATATCCAATAAAGGTTACAGGAATGTTACAGCTAATCCACTGTAAGAAAATAATCTCCCAAATATAAATTCATCAGAATGAATAAGGTAGTCAGTGAAACTAGTACAAATTGCTGGCTCCTGTATATTGCCTAGAAATAATTGATTCAAAACGACTTTCAAAAACTGCAAAATACCAATGAAATTTCCTCTGAATAACAAATATGCTTGATAGCTTGGTAATGTATGAGAATTGCACTGCCCTAAGACAATGATTGAAGTTATTTATGAGAAAGTTTCAGGTCTGCAGCTTGGTTGTTTCCAGATAGAAAAGACTGTGCTGCTATGCCATCTTTTATTCCATAGCAGATTTTATACAGTAAGAGAAAGGCTGAAAAGCACTGGAGTGGAAGATTAGAACGTCTGAATCCCCGATCCCCTGTAAAATTCCATGAATGAGGCAAGGCAAGACTGCACTAAAGGGCTGCTCTGGAAGATTCATTTTACTGAGCCAAGATTAGGGTTTCAGAAAAAGTTGCTTTCTGAATATTAGACTATTTCACAAACTATAAAGCTTTTCCTAAAAATGACTCCAAGTAGTCTTAAACTGGGCAACTTGTTATGCAGTAGAAGGAATATAGAAACTTACCATATTTTAAACATGGATTTTACTGTCTTAACATTTTGGAGCAGATTCATAACAAAGGCAAATGCTAGCTATCAAAACAGAGGGGACAATTAATGTCACAGGACTGGAGTTGC